GTGCATGTGTATCAACCTTTCACACTGCATGCCATTAATTTACCGCATTATAATAGTTCAGCTTTAAAACAATTGTCTCATATTTTACAAGAAAATTGCATCAAAACTTCAAAAATGGGAAGGGAACAATATATGAGTCTATTGCAATGGGGGTCAAGACTTTGCAACAGGAAGAGAGGTTGGAATAAACTCCCTGGAACCTGAAGGCAGGGGAGATTTTAAGCTCCAAAAGCTAATGGAGAGGCCCTGAGGAACGTTAGTGGGGAGGTTGATCAATGTGATTATGCCATGTGTTTGCTAATCAGCATTTACTGGAGTTGGGCCGCTAACTACCCGTGGAGACAGAGGACACATGGTCTTGGACAATTGCATTTCAAAAGGATGACTCCACATTTGCCTTAACCATTAAGCATCTTTTTCCTAGTGCATGAGTGAATTATTTAAGATAGAAAATGTGTCATGGAACTATAGTTACTTTAAAATATATTTGGATTCACTAATCACCTTTGAGTCATATTTGAGGCTGAAAATGTTGTACTTGCTGGAGACATCCTCCTTTTCTACTAGTTTAGTTTTTGGAGTTGTTAGCAGCAACTACCAAATGTGATGCTACTAGCATCCTTTTTTCTGCAAAGAGCGATAGGGACATTTGATCCCTTCAACATGTATGTCTTTGTCCTTACTGACACATGCTTATAAGCATGTTTGGTGAGAAAGTACTTCATCTGTGCCTTGCAGCATCAGTTCATCAAATCCAGTAGAGTTGGGTACTGACCTTGTGTCTTCCTTCCCTGAGCCTGAAATACCCTCTACCCCTTCTTTTCATGTCTCCAGGTTTTAGATATCTGTGTTATTCTAGGTTAAAACTCGCCGTGGACTCTCTTGCTGGCACTCCAGTCTACACTGCCTCTATCTTTTTTATGAAGTCTTAATGTTTCATGGAGTCACTCTTACTTGTTAACCTCTCTGTGTTTTAATATTAAATTGTTTTTATTAGACTTATTTTGGGTAAGCTCTCACAAACTGGACTCAGGGACCGATTCAGTTCTATGGGTTTCACTGACATTCTGTATGAATAATGTAATTTTACATGGGTGTGTGAAGTCGTGTGCAGCAATTACTTTATACAGTTGCGTGCAGTTTCTCCATCCCATCACCTATTATATGTAGGACAGTCATTTACAAGTTATAAAAGCAAACATGGCAGGGGCTGACGTTCTGGTTTAGGTACATAAATTTTACAGAAAGTAAATATGTGTAAGCTTAGATGTTTGAATTGTGGAGAGAAAGAAAGGAAAGAAGGGATGTACTGCGGGGGACTTTGTACGTTTGAAAATGTGGAAATTGGGACAGAATTCAACTGGAAAGTAAAATTTTAAGAGACTCTAGAGCTGTGGGGAGGGAGAAGCCAGGCAGATTCTGAGTTAAACACAAATGTTCTGAGCCAGAGATTGGAATGGGCCCTTCTACAGTTTAGGAACATAGTCACATTGAGGCCTTCTAATGTTTGTCAGGGACAGTTACAGGAACCCAGGGAAGTTTTCTGACCTGCCAGTCCTTGGCCCCAATCATAGGCCTTCACTAACCACATGAGGGGGAGAACTGGACCATTTCTATGTTCAAACCACAGGCTGTGTCCTCTGTGGTATGCTTCCCAGCCATGGACTGTCCCTGTCTTAGACCCCCTGTACTTGACACCTTGGATAGGAAGATCTTAAGTCTATGGTTGAGACCCACCTCAGAGTCAGAATGGGGTAGATATGAAGAAAGAAGACTTGTTCTCTCTCTGGGTGCTGGCGGTCAAGAACAGTAAACAACCCCACCTGGCGCCCTGTTCCTTTCTCTGCACCCACAGGCTCTGTCACTCTAAGACGTCTTTGACTATTCGACCACTGACTCTTCCAGGGAGAATAGCTATGCTTTGGTCAAACATTCCATTTCAAAACGTGTTGTGGAAAAACACCCGGGATGTGTTAGATCCTGGAATTATTGATGCCTGCTGCAGTTGCCCCAAAGCTTTGTGGTCACTTCCTGCTGGACAGCTTGGAGGGTGGCAAGGGAGTTCTGGTGGACTTTGTGTATACAAGAAGAGGACGAAAAGTAAGGAGAACATCTGGCCACATCAAGAAGTCAGGCTTAAAACTGTCAGGATTTGCAACAAGTACTTTCAATTCAATTCAATTCAATTCAATTTTAGTTATGTCCAGTGGTTTCTTTGAAGATAATGATAGTACTTGCTAACCAGAGTCCTGACTGAACCTTACAGCGAGCATTAAAAAAGTAACAAGTTACAGAGAAGGTGGTGCAAGAAATTTATTAGAGAAAAAGCAGAAAAATGCAGTCATAAACACAATACCAGGAGCTTCTGTGTCCTCCCAGGAGATACTTCGATCTAAGAGGTCACCACTGCCACTGTCCTTTCATGAGACCTGGCTTTCCTGGGTCACCTACTGGTGTGTGATGTTCAGCGAAGCACACAATTGAAATTAGAGAGCATTCAGGTCTCAGTTACTCGGTGATGTTCTGCCTGGCCTTCTTCGGCTGCAGCAGAGTACAAAACCCTTTGGCCTTCCGGTGCAGATCACATTGACAACCTCATAACTAAAGCAGCGTCTTCTGCAGTGGCAGATTAAGTCTTTGCTTCCACCTGAAGACACAGAGACAACAGGCATCGGTATGGAGGTCAGTGCCATGTGGCAGTGTTTATCCTATGAATACACATTATGCTTACTGTGGGTCTATTGTGTTAGCAACATCACAGCCATCAATACAAACAACTCCACACATGCTAACATAATGCACTTAACAAGCGTTGGTCATGGAAAGGACTGAGACCCATTGTGGTGGGTCTTCACTTTAAAATATCCTGTCCTCATCACACAGTCACTGAGCACAGTATTACACTGATCTGAGGGTTAGAGTGTGTTCTTTTAGACAAGGGAAGCTTTTCTCAGTTATACCCATTTCGTTCTGGAAGGGTGCACTTAGTATAGTGCTTCCTCTTCCAGTGAACTCAGTAGATACAATTTTGGACCAAAAACCTTAAGAGAAAGGTCAATTAGGCTGATTTCACTCTTACTGTTTATTCTATGGACAAGAAATATAGACACAGTAAATAGAGTTACCAAGGGAGCCAGCCTGCTGCAGACAGGATCCTGAAACTTGGCTCCAGCCCTTCCAGCCTATATGCTACTGATGGCATCACTTACTTCTATGTTGAAGGGCAGAGCTTTCAGGATCTCCAAAGGAGATGTCCATATCCTGGTCCTCGTCACCTGGCTGCTCCTCATCTGGGGTCTCCTCAGCTGCTCCTGGGAGAGGATCAGCCTGGGCCTGGAAGGTCAGCAAGAGAAGGGCAGCGAGGAGGACGGTGAGTGTTCTCATGGCTAGGAGTCACTGGAGGATTCTGATCAGGAGCTGAGTGTGTGGGGAGTAAGGAGCCAACCTGTATTTATATGGCTGTCAGAAGAAGGCTCAGAGACAGGCCCTTCAGTTAGAGGGTGTGTGCACTGATGGGAAGGGAAGACCAAGGTCCGCAGGGTCCCTTTGATGTTCCTCTGATCTCACGGATTCCATCATGATGTGCCTCTGTGTTCAATGACTTTTTTCCCTTAGAGCTGTTAATGATGAAGGGCCCTGCTGTCTTCTGCTGTTTCCCATCTGCTTGGATATTTACCTTTGGGTATTCCGGAAAGAAAAATAACAGGAAATATTTTAGTCAATAGGCTTATGGAAGAGAGGCGTTTTTGTTTTGCCATTGGATCCTGATGCTCTCAAACTTTGGAGACCCTGGTAGACCTGAACCCCAGTGAGTTAGAAAGACTGCAGGATCCAGGAGCATTAGC